TTTCAATTTCTTTGCTCGTAATTGGTTTGTTTAACATTTGTGTTTCTTCCTTGGTCAGTCTTGGGAGGTTGTATTTTTCTAGGAAGTTGTCCATTTCTTCTAGGTTTTCCAGCTTGTTGGCATGTAGGTTTTCATAGTAGTCAAGAAAGTCATGTTTAATGATTCCTAGACCACATTAAATTGAGAAATAATGATTTTAAGAACTAAGAAAAAGGTCTTGAACAAATTAAATAAGACAATTGCTACACAATATAAATTTATTACGAGTAATTGAGGACTAAACTGTTACTTGGGAATTTGAGTGCACATTGTAATACTATTTTAAAAACTTGATTCTGCAAATTATAGGACTAGTATTTTTAGATAATTTTAACAATTCCAGATTTTCAGGTTTACCTAAAAAATATTAAAAATAAATTTTCTGATGCTATTAAAATTAAGCTTTGAGTTAATATTTTATATTTTAGAAATTAACCACTTGTCAGATATATGATTTGTAGATATTTTCTCACATTCTGTAGGTTGCCTTTTCACTCTATTGATGTTTCCTTTACTATGCAGGAGCTCTTTAGTTTAATGTAGTCCCACTTGTCTAATTTTGCTTTTGTTCCCTATGTTTTTGGGGTCATATCTGTGAAATTATTGCCAAAACCAATATGTGAAGCTTTCCACATATGTTTTATTACAGAAGTTTTAGAGTTCCAAGTTTTACATTTAAGTTTTTAATACATTTTTAATTGATTTTTGTGTATAGTATAAGAAAAAAATCTAATTTCCTTCTTTTGCATGTGGATATTCGATTTTCCCAGCACCATTTGTTGAAGAGACTGTCTTTTTCCCATTATGTATTCTTGGCATCCTCTTTGCAGATTAGTTGACCATATGTACATAGATTTATTTCTGAACTCTCTGTTCTATTGGTTTCTGTGTCTCTCTTTATGCCAATATCATACTGTCTTAATTACAAATGACCCCAAATAACCAGAACAATCTTGAAAATGAAGAACAAAGCTGATGTATTTCCTAATTTCAGAATATGTTAGAAGACTAATATATCTAATAATAAAGTATAACTTTACTTTTATGGGAAACTGTTGTGCTGAGTCCCAGTTAGCACTGGGATAAAGGTGGCTGCCTAAATCCTAATGTCCCCATATATGCTCCCAAAATATCTGTTAATTCAACAAGGAGCACAAATCCATTCATGAAATTATTCATTTAACTTTATCAAGAGACAAGGAATAGAGGGGGCAGCCTTGACAAAACATTGCTCTGGAGGAGGAGATAAAAAGAGCAGTAGAGGTGTCCTTCAGATACCTGGGAGTGAGGAGAAAGAAGGAAGTATAACGGGAAATTGGAGATCCTGTGGAAGTGAAAGAGAAACAGGAGACATACTAATTACTCCCTGTCACTCCTAATTAACTCACATCATCCATTAAATAAACTGAACTTCACGGTGCTGGCAGAAAGGAATACTCTCAAATTAGGGTCCCTGTCCATTAAGTGTCTAGCAATAGGAAAAATCATACATAAAGAATAAATTGCAATGTATCTAAGGGAGAATATATTGCAACTAAATTTAATAGAGTCAGTGAATTTCTTTTAAAGAGGAATTTAAATGAAGTAAAGACATCAAAAGGGTCACAGAGAATGTGGTTGAAATGGAGGACAGGCAAAGAAAATTCAACATGTAATTGAAATCTCTAAAGGAGAAAAGCAAAATATTTGAACTAAACAAATATTTAAAGCTATGATCCAAGAAAATTTTCCAGAAATAAGAGAAAGCCTAAATCTACATATCAGGCCCACTATATCCCTGGGAAAATTGACTCAGCCTGCTTGACCCCAAGATATATCATAGCAAAACCATTAGACTTAACGACAAAAATTCCCAGAACCTCAAGCAAAAGAACAAAATACATAATGGTTGAGAAAATTAGTCTGGCATCAAACTTCTCAAAAATAGCATACGAAACAAGACAAGTGGAACAGCATTTTGAAGAAACTCAACGATAAAAAGTGTGAGCCAAGGATGTAAAGGCTATAGAAGAACAGTTCAAAACATGGAAAAACTCAGGGAATACTGTTTCTCAGGAGCCCTTCTTGAGGAATCTCCTAGAGCAGCGGTTCTTAAAGTGTGTCCCCAGACCCACAACATCAGAATACCTGGGAACTTGTTAGGAATGCATATTCTCAGGCCCACCGCTGACTTGCTGAGTCAGAAGTGGGGTGGAATACATCAGTTTGTGTTTCACCAAACCCTACAGATCATTCTGATGCACATCCAACAAGATAATCAACAACTTCTAATGAACGGGTGATTGGGGAAGCTTTGGCAGAGGACTGATAGCAAGCATTTAATATACTGATTGTTGGTATAAGTTTAAGATGTAGGTGGGGACATGATTGGAATAACAGTATCTAAAGCATCATAAATATTGCCAGAGTAGAAAGAATGCAACTAAAAAATGAGAATAAGAGAAAGGTAAAAGTAAAATAAGACCCTTCATTGTTATAGAAGAAATAGATGGATGTCAAAGGATACCATTTAAAACTGACAAACAAGATGGTAGGAGATTAACAAAGGAAAATAAAGAGGGTTAAGGGTATCATAAAAGATACAATGACAAAGGTAACCAGTAGAGTAATTAAACTAAATGTGTAATACATGATCCTGTGCTGAAAAAAATTGTGCTTTATTTGTACAATTGATGAAATTAGAATATGGAATATAGATTTAAAAATCAATTATTCTAGAATAATTCCAAAATAAATTTTTTTTCCAAATTATTCCAAAATAATAATTTTCCCAAAAAAGTTTTAAAAAGTTGTATGTCAGTCAGTCATTCTCAACTAGGTCATGTAGGGTACTCCAGTTCCCTGTTCTATAGGTTTATTGTATGTATTGGAGTGGAACAAATTTTCATTTCTTTAAAATCACCTGTACTTTAGACCTCACTAGTGCATATCAGTCATCTCAATATATTTGAATTTAGTAAATTTTACAAGACAGGCAATGATGACTAAACATCTCTCTCCCTAAAAGGCGCAAAATCATTCTAAATAGATACAAGAGCAAATTTTGAAACTACAATTTTAAAGATTATGGTGGCTTTATAATTTTTTAAGTACTTAAAAATATGATTGCTATTTATGTGTATGGTATGTTTTGAAGGTAACAAGAAATGAAAATTTATTTGATTGTTTATACTTTTCATCCCTTTCTTCAATGATCATTTGCTATAAACCTCAGGTACACAAAGGTGGAAAAAAGTTTTGAATACTTGAGCTTTTTACTTTGAAGTGCTTAGTCCAAACAAAATAGTCAGCAAATAAGTCTAGTGCTTCTTTTAAATATATTAAAACTCAGGGTATTAATGTGAATTAACTTAGGGTGGAAATAGTAAACATGAATACAAGTGATATGCTCTACTTTTCAAAAATTTATTTATGCCAGCTTTAACCTAATTTTAAAAATGAAAAGTAAAGTACTTTGTTTTTCTTTTTAAAGATATGGATGTAATGAGGCCCTTAATAAATGAACAGAATTTTGAAGGAACATCAGACGAAGAACATGAGCAAGAACTCCTGCCTGTTCAGAAGCATTACCAGCTTGATGATCAAGAGGGTATTTCGTAAGTGTTAAGGTTTATAAGTCTCCTTTTCTGTTCATTCAGTGTGTGTTTGTAATCATCTTTTACAGGCAAGGCACTTTACTAGGTACTACAGAAGACACGCAGATGAAAAAGACATAGTCCCGACCCTCAAGGTGTTTGTAGTCAATTTAGGAAAGAAGAAATACATCTTAATTGCAGAGCAGTATATAGGAGTTGTTACTAGAATGATGATATATATCAAATGCTAAGGACCTTGGAAGAAGGGAGATCTGATTGAGAGGAATGGAAATTTTAAGAGAAGTAGCTTCTGAAATGGTTAGGAGATTGTGGGAGGTAGTAAATATTTCTTTATGCTGAGTGAATGGTATGAAACAAGGTCCTGGCAGTAGGAAAGCAGTGTGACTTTTTTTTAAACCTTTTTTGTTATTTTGTCATCACTTATAGGTTTTACTAAGTTCTTATTCTAATAGTAATTTATTGATTAAGCAAATAACATTTTAATTGATCAGAAAAGAATAGTATAAACTAAAAAAATTTTTAGGCAAGAATTTGCATTTTATAAATTTAGAATTTGTGCTGTTCTTCATAGTTTATTTTTTTGGTTGAAACTTCTGAGAATGCCTGTTGGAAACTTTTCTTAGGTGAAATTCCTTAGGGAGTTCATGGTACCTCAGTTAATTGGTATTTATCTTACCTGATGATATGCATATTTTAAAACTTGTATGTTTTTTCTTTTTATTNTAATTGGTATTTATCTTACCTGATGATATGCATATTTTAAAACTTGTATGTTTTTTCTTTTTATTAACTTCCACTTAAGTTGATAACCAAAGATAAAATGTTTAATACCCTGATTACATAGACAGTGTCAGTAAATTTCTCTGTCTTTACCAGCCTAGCCATATATAATCTTCAACATTGTTCTGAATATCATAGTGGCAAAAAATTGTATTAGAAAATTACTGTTTTTATTACCTTAATGTATACAAAAGTACTTTAAATATCTCATTTAATCTCCATAATAACCCTCTGTATTCCACTTTTAAGTGGCAAAGTTAGGACTTGAGCCAAATATGACTTCAACTAGAAGTTGAATGGAAATGTTGTTTGATTTCTTGCCTGGATTAATTTTCATTTCCCATCTAATGCTAAAACCATGATGTTGTGATTTTAATACCTCTTGTTCTAAAATGTTTAAATGTTACAATGTTTACTTTTCAGATTTGTACAAACTCTTATGCATCTTCTGAAAGGAAATATCGGAACTGGCCTGTTAGGACTTCCATTGGCAATAAAAAATGCAGGCATAGTGGTAAGACCTATCTTAGCTTTTCAGTCTTAATTTACAGCAAAATTTGCCACAAGTTAACATCCAGCCTAGTCAAATATAACCTAGCCTACTCAAATATAAAAACTAGATAATCCCTTAGCTACTGTATTGATAAAATTACATGAACTATGATGGTAGTATCTAACAAAAAATGAGAATTACTCTTTTCGTTTCTACTGAATTACTTATTATAATTGATAGAAGATGCTAAAACAGTATTTGATTTTGCCAGGTATGGTTATATCTTACTATTCTGTTAGATTTTCAGGGATTTAAGCAATGTGCTCAGATAAATATATTTATAGAGCAAATTATTTGTATTGATGAAATTTCATAGTGTTTTAGATTCAGAATAAATATATCGTTTTCAGATTCAAAGAAAAATAGTTAAGAAAAGGAATAATTATCTTTTGAAAACAAGTACTCAAAGTATTGCTACAGCCAATTGTAATTATGGAGAATCTTGATGGGAAGAATTCACTTAGAAAGTAATGAAGTAATATTTAACTGTCCAGTTTTCTAAAGAACAGTTTTAACTATCATCGTTCTTCTGCATCTTGACTTTGTCCACCCTAATTTCGAGGAGCTTAAAAATTTCTGATTATAAAAGTATAAACTTTGGCAATATTTTGTCTGTATGTTAATAGTCCAGGTGTCACTTCAATTTTAGTAAGTAAATACTTCTAATTTCTTGTGTATCATTTTTTTAAATAATTATTTTCTTGGCACAGTTCCTCAGACATCATAAGTGCTCAATAAGCAGTCTATAGAATTGACTGGGGTTGCCCACAATCCCAGATTGATATATGTATTACTTTTTAGTCATTAGATAATGATTCAGAGTTGGATATAATTATAATGGTGGGACACTGATTATCATAGACTTGCCATCTAATGTTAAATATGATGTTGTATTCTATCCTACTTTGTTGCATGTCTCTACTCTATATTCATAGGTTTGAATAGCCAACTTGATAAGATGGAATCATATGTGGCTGTCTTAGGTACAGTAGTTCCCTCTTTATCTATGGTTTCACCTTCTGTGTCTTCACTTACCTGCGGTCACCCGTGGTCTGGAAGCAGCTGATCCTCCTTCTGACCTATTGTCAGAAGGTCAGCATATAGTGGCACAGTGCTACATCACAGTGTCTATGTCACTCACCTCCCTTCATCTCATCATGTAGACATTTTACCATCTCACATCATCACAAAAAGAAGGGTGATAAAATACAATAAGATATTTTGAGAGAGAGAGAGAGAGAGAACCATATTCACATAACTTGGAATGTATCCCCCATAGATAAAGGGAGACTACTGTATTACTGATATCCTCTCTGTATTGTTTATTAGTTTTCCCTTATATAAATGACTATTTAATCATTTTGTCCAACAAATATTTATTTGCTGTAAATGAGTAGTCTGTTGTCTCATTGATTATAAGGAAAGTTAATTTTTGTTGAACTTAAATATTTAAACCTTATAATTTTTTTTTCTCACAGCTTGGACCCATCAGCCTTGTATTTATAGGAATTATTTCTGTTCACTGTATGCACATTTTGGTACGTTGCAGTCACTTTCTATGTCAGAGGTAAATGTGGATTTGTTAAGTCTATTTAATTTATTGTAAAGCAAATGTTGTTCAGAGCATCAGAGTTTTATATTTCTACTGTGCTTTGCAACCAGCAAATATAACAAAAATAAAAAATAATTTGCAGTTAAATTTCCTGTAATCTCTTACATAGACAAGTCTAAGATCATAAATATGGGAAAAGGCAGTATTTCATATGATTGAAATCTAGGCAGAATATATTTACTTCTTTTAAAACAGCCTGATAAGTTAAATAGAATTGTGTCTTGTATTTAGTGTAAATTTTTAAAATTGGAAAAGCTGTATGGAGGAAATGGAGGCAGCACTACCTTTAATTATAGCTTAATGGTCTTCTGTTCATAAGTAACTAGTTTTGGGTATAATGCTTTGGTGCTCTTTGCTGATATGTAGATTGGTAGATAGTAAATAAAATAATATTCTTGTTTCTTTATTTTTGTATTTAAGGTGCTTCTATTGGACAATGGACCAAACTTTTTATTAATTAAATATTGTCTATTCTAGCAAACTAATCTTCCAGTCTTAACTCTCTTGTTGTTAAATGTTCTTAAAACTTTGGGCAAGTTATTTATGATATTTAAACAATATACTTGAAAAAAAAAGTGGGAGAGAGAAGATAGATAATAACTATCTCATGGACCTATTTTAAGAATTAAATAACATAGTTTATGTGAAAATGTATTGTAAAGCTCTGTACAGTTGTATTAAATAATGTATTCTCACATGGAATAATTTAGGCCTGAACAATGTAATTGATGTTTTTTGGTGATTGAAATATTTAAATCAGTTGTGCACAAATATGGTATTATATGAATTCTACAAATATATAAACTTTAAAAGTAGAATAAAAACTAATATACTGGTAAAAGGACAGATAGGAAATTTTTAAATTTCATGAGACATACTTTAGGAGAAATTCCTGTTAGTGCATAACCCTTCATTAATTCCCATTTATTTTATGTTCTTTTCAAGGCATGGATTTATGAAACAACTTAAAGTTTTTCTTTTTCATAAGCATGTATGTCATTAAATTACAGGTTTAAAAAGTCGACATTAGGTTATAGTGACACTGTGAGTTTTGCTATGGAAGTAAGCCCTTGGAGTTGTCTTCAGAAGCAAGCAGCATGGGGGCGGTAAGTAGTTGCTGTGTTATATATATGTTATCAAAATCATATTAACTTTTAAGTATTTTAATCTTACAAGGTATGTGAATAGAAGTATGATAAAGTTGGGGGAATAAACAATGTTTAGAGGTTGACAGACTTGGGTTCAGATCTCAACTCTACCATTTTTCAATTTTATGACCTGTGTCAAATTTATCATTATGTTTTAGTTTTCTCACTGCTAAATGAGTTCATAATAATAGTTTCTTAACAGGATTATTATAGTAGTTTAAATAAAATGATACTTATAAAGCACCTGGCTAACCTACAACATAAGTGTGTTCAATAATTTTTCTTAAGTACAGGAAAAAAAAATGCTATAATCTCATTTCAAATAAAATTGCAGTGTTTACATGCTCATAAAATATCTGAAGTATGTATTTCAGCATAATATTATTTGGTTATCACATTGTTTAAACATAACTTTATCACTGTTGGACATGGACTTGGATAATTAAAGTCATGAATACAGAATGGGAAAAATAAGCATAGGCAATCAACAGAGTGCTGGCTATGGTACAAATGGTAAGTACAGTAGAAATTAAAAGAAGACAACAGTCGTAGTAGAGTAGTTCATGGTTAAATATGGCCTTGCTGGGGATTTTTGGGAAATCAGATTTATTAATGAACTGCTCAGAGTTCCTGATAATGCTGAGTAGGGGACGGAAGAAAACATAGCCTAGTGCCCTAGGGATTTGCTCCCAGAACCTGTCTTCTTTCTTTTGCCCCAGCATAGAGGCAGCTTTGCTTTTTTTTCTATCAAGGAGTAGCTTTCAGATAGAAGTGGCTGGAGTGATTGTTGGTAGAATCCTCAAGTCAAAGGTGGATCAAGAGATATTTGAGGAAATACTTTAGTGTAATTCATCAGAGAGAAGAAACCTGAATTATTTCTGGGTACCAAGCTTGCTTAC